AGGGCGCCCACCCCGGCGGCCCGCGCGCCCGGCTCGGACCCTGACGCTTCCCGCACTTTCACCCAACGCCAGAGTTCCCTCATGTTCTCTGGGCCTCAGTTTCCACGTCTGGATGACGGAACCGTCGCCTCTACTCCACTGGCTAGCCGGCAGAATGACAGGCGGCAGTGCCCCGGGTCAGCCCGGCGCGTGGCCGCAGCCCCACCGGGCAGGAACAGTGGTTTCATTCATCCAGCAGCTACTTACTGATCGCCTACTTCGAGCCCTGCCCTGGGTGCTGGGGACGCTGTGTGAAAAGCCCTCTTGCAGCTTGCTTCTAGGTTTGCAAAGCACGCTGGCATCTGTTTTCTCACGGCAACCTTGTGAGGTAGATGGAGCAACCAGGATTATTTGGGTTCATTTTGTAGCTGTGGACACTGAGGTGCAATGAGGTTTTAAGGGTCTTGCCCAAGGCGCAAATGGGTACCCAAGGGTGGGTGCCAGCTTGTGCCACAAAAAGCATCCCCCTGGGGTAGAAAGACAGCTCTGGTCCCACAGACCCTTCCCTAGAACAGAGTCCTGTGGGCCTGGTTAGAGCATGGCTCCACTCTGGGGCTGCCTCCCTCTGGGAGATTAGGGATTTGGCTATCCCCTCCATCAAACGGTGAGTGTTAGTGCTTGTCTGAGACATGGCTCCATCCCTCACCCAAATCTTTGGTGAGCAGGACAGTCACAGAGGAGACTGAAATTACAGTCCCTCTAGCTGTCAGAGTTGCTGCCCTGTGACCACCACCAGCAACAACATAGGGTCAGTCAATCAGTCAGTCAATCAATCAACAAACATGTAGCCAGTATGTGTCGTGCAGGGCAGAGACTCACTTATCTGTATCTGTAGGGCCTGGTGCACAGTAGGCCCCTAGCACACAGTGGCTGTTTTGATGATCACCTGCCCCTGGTCCACCTGCATCTTCCGGTGGAGCAGGACGTTTGGGGGCAATAACGATGACAGTGACCCACAGCCTGGCTCACTTTAAACTTAGAGTGAGGAGGACAGGATCCTCAGTGCTGTTCTGCTAGCCCATAGACCTAACCCTGACACCTGCAGGGGGCTTGGGTAGACCTTGAGGTGTCAGCCGCCTACACTACTGTAGGACCTGGGAGAACCAGGGGCAGCCAGTGTCAGGGCGGGGCGGCCCAGCGCTTGGAATCCTGTACCAGCTTCCAGGACACAGAGCCCTTTTGGATCCCCTGAGGACCCTCCTCCTTCTCTTCTTTTTTCTTCCTCCTTCTCTTCCTCCTCTTCCACCTTCCTCCTTTCTCCTTTTCCTCCAGAAAGCCCTCCCCATCTCCTCAGTGAGAAAGCCTCGCAATCTGGGGAGGTCTTCCTTGGTATGATTTGATCTGTCTTCCTCTGATACCCCATGGGAACTGGGGCTTTACGGAACTGGTAGAGAAGTCAGGTGTAAATTGGTATAAACCTCAGTCATGTGGTGTGAGATTGAGCCTCGGTTTCTCCAGTTATAGAACCCAAGTCTTGGCTGCCTTGTCTCTGACTCTGTGGGAGGCAGCAGCCACCCTGGAGGTTCCTGAGATTCTGAAAGGGACGGGTTCCCTGGGAACTCAGGAGGTTTCCACCTGAAGTTCCCCTCAGTCCTGGGGGTCAGATAACTTATATGACTCAAGACAACTCTAGAATATTTGTTCTTCTATTTCTCCACACAGGTGGATGGTTTCTGGGTCCACATGGCTAAGTAGAGGATGAAGCCCACCTCTGCAGTCTCCTCGCCAGAGGCCTGTAAAGCAGCCCGCCAGGGCGAGAAGAGTTGCCCTGTCTGCCAGGCCTGGGGAGAGGTCTCAGGTCCAGGGTCTGGTTTAGGATCTGGGCCAGCACCTGGGCTAGGGCCTGGTGCTATTCCAGGGCCTGGACCGGGGCCTAAAGCTATTCCAGTACCTGGGACTGGGGCGGGAGCTGGTGCCACTTTAGGAGCTGGACCAGGTGTAGGGCCTGGGCCAGGAGCTGGGTCAGTACCTGGTCTAGGGGTTGGGTCAGTACCTGGGCCAGGAACTGGGCCGGTACTTGGGCCAGGAGCTGGGTCGGTACCTATTCTAGGAGCTGGGTCAGTACCTGGTCCAGGAGCTGGGTCGGTACCTGGGCTAGGAGCTGGGTCAGTATCTGGGCCAGGAGCTGGGTCGGTATCTGGGCCAGGAGCTGGGTCAGTACTTGGGCCAGGAGCTGGGTCGGTACCTATTCTAGGAACTGGGTCAGTAACTGGACCAGGAGCTGGGTCAGTACCTAATCTAGGAGCTGAGTTGGTATCTGTATCAGGAGCTGGGTCAGTACCTGGGCCAGGAGCTGGGTCAGTACATACTCTAGGAGCTGAGTCAGTACCTAGAGCAGGAGCTGGCACAGTACCTGGGTCAGAAGCTGGGTCAGCACCTGGACCAGAGCTAAGGCCTGGGCCCAGACGGGGATCTGGGACTGGGCCCAAACCCAGCGAGTCAACAACAACCTCATCATCAGCACCACAGCAGAAGACTCAAGCCAAACCCACAAAGGCTCCTAAGCAGAAAGTTCTGGTGACTGGAGGAGGAGGCTACCTGGGCTTTAGCCTGGGATCCACCCTTGCCAAGAGTGGCGCTTCTGTCATTCTGCTTGACCTCCGCAGACCTCAGTGGGAACTGTCCTCGGGGACTGAGTTCATCCAGGTACAGGGTCGACAGTGCAGACGACCGGTGGTGGTGGTGGTGGGCGGGGGACAGTGTCTGGTGTGAAACCAGTGGTGTGGAGTTTGAGGGCACAGGCTCCAGAGTCAGGCTGTGTGAGCTTCAGCTCTAGCTCCCGTGCTTCCCAGCTGGGCAACTTGGCCACAAGGCTCCACATTGCAGAGCTTCCACATCCTCATCCACAGAAAGGGGACAAAATAACATTTACTTCACAGGGTCTCATGGGGGGTCAACAAGACAGTGCATGTAAACACTGCACAGCCCCTGTGACCCAGAGAGTGTGAGAAATGGGGACGGGGATGCGGATGAGGATGCCCTGTGGAATCACAGTGAATCCTGCCCCACTAGCCTTTCCTGAAACTGCAGAGGCTCGGCCTGAGCTGGGTCAGGGTCCAGCTCTGGGACTATGCCAGGCACCGAGTTGCTATCTTTCTTGCCTTGGACTTGAACCCCCACCCCAGCTCTTACCTCTCTGCTTCAGGCTGATGTCCGAGATGAAGAAGCCCTGTACCGCGCCTTCGAAGGAGTGGACTGTGTCTTCCATGTGGCCTCCTATGGAATGTCTGGTGCTGAGAAGGTGAGCCCTCACACACAATACTTGGAGTTGGACAGAGGGGTTTCCAGTCCTGGATCTGCCCACCACACTCCCTCATGCCCAGGTATTCCTTATCACTCTTTCCCTACTCTAGAAAGGAGGGGAGCTTCCCCTAAAGTCCAAATACCAGTCCTGCCACTTGCTAGCTGTGTGATTTAGGGCAAGTTACCTTAACGTCTCTGAGCCTCTCTTTCCTCATCTGGAAAATGAGGATATTGCTACTGCTTATATCACAACCACTTCAGTGAACAGTGTGACAACATCCATCAAAACATACATATACCCTTTGACTTGGCAATTGCACATGTATTTGCAGCATTGTTTTTAAAAACAAAACACTGGAAATAACCTAAGTGCCCATCAGCTGGGGACTATGTAAATAAATTGTATTGTACCCACACAATGAAACGCCATGTAACTGTTCAAAAGAATGTAGTGATTTAATGTGCACTGATAACACAACAATCGCCAAGGTGCAAAATGATGTTTGGTATGCTCCTGTTTGTTTAAGAAAAAAAAAAAAGCCTGGCTCGGTGGCTCAGCCTATAATCCCGCACCTTGGGAGGCTGAGGTGAGTGGATTGCCTGAGCCCGCGGGTTCGAGACCCGCATGGGCAACTTGGTGAGACCTCATCTCTACAATAAATCAAAAAATTAGCTGGGTTAGCACACGCCTATAGTTCCAGCTACTTGGAAGGCTGAGGCGGAAGGATCTCTGAAGCCCCAGCAGGTCGAGGTTATGGTGGCCAGGAGCGTGGGATTGCACTCCAGTCTGGGCGACAGAGTGAGACTCCAACTCAAAAAAAATAAAGAAAAAAGAAAAAAAAAAGCTAGGGTTTGCACCAGTGCTTATGTAAGAAAACAAGAAAGCTAGAGTAAATGCTTATTTCTATATTCACACATACTTATGTGCTGATATTAAATAAGCATAACTTATCTCTAGAAACACACAAAACTTAATAGTGGTTGCCACTGGAGAGGAAAAACGAACACTTGAAATCAGGAATGGAAGGAAAATTTCCTTTTCACTGTATCACTTTTTTACAGTTTTAATTTTTAAATTTTTTTTTTTTAGTTAGGTCTCTGTCACCCAGACTGGAGTGCAGTGGCACTAGCATAGCTCACTGCAGCCTTGACCTCCTAGGCTCAGGCATTCTTTCTGCCTCAGCCTCCCAAGCAGCTAGGACTACAGGTATGTGCCACCATACCTGGCTTTGGTAGAGACAAAATCTTGCCATGTTGCCTAGGCTGGTCTTGAACTCCTGGGCTCAAGCAATCCTCCTGCCTTGGCCTCCCAAAGTGTTGGGATTATAAGCATGAGCCACCATATCTGACTCTGTTTGAATTGTTTTAAAACTTGTGATTGTATTGCCTATTAAACAAAAACAACCACAACAAGACAAATATCATTTAAAATATCATTTACAAATAAATCTGGAACCCACCTCCTGCCATTGTTGTGAAAATTAAATGAGATCTGGGATCAGAAAACTCTCACCCTGTCCCTGGCTCACAAGAACCTTCATTGCGGCTCTGCTGTTTTTGTTTGTTATACCTCGTGCTCCTCCCTAGAGCACGGACAGTATTGATATGTCCATCCTACAGATAAGGAAACTGAGGCTTCAAGAGCAGGAAAATGATCCAACAGGTTTTAGCCCCTCTTCTGTTTCAAGCACTGTGCCAGGTCCTCCCAAATGTTTGGATCCTGCCAACCACCCAGGGGCCAGCCCCTACTTTACAGATGAGGGAGCTGAGGGTCAGAGCAGAGCCAGAGGGTTGCCCAGGGAAATGTTAGCAGAGCTGGCCACCCGCACTGCCTGTGGGCCTCTCGGGATCCCTACCTCTGAGCTGGACGTCCTGCTGCCCTCAGCCCACCTGACTCCAAGCCCAGCCTTCCAGCCCCAGCGGCAAGGCATGGGGAGCACCATGAACTTCTCGCCTCCATCTTGTCTTTTAGCTGCAAAAAGAGCAGATTGAGTCTATAAATGTCGGAGGCACCAAACTAGTGATCGATGGTAGGCGCTCAGAGTTGGGTGTGACCTGCTGTGTGCTTCCTCCTTCTCTCCCCCCTCCTGACGCAGGCCCAGCTCCCCGGGGGCCAAGGCTGGGGTCAGAGATGGGATCCTCCTGTCCACTCCAGCAATGGCCTGTGGGCAGCATGTCCTTCCTGAACTGCAGATCTGCCCAGGGCCCTGTCCCTGACATGGGTGTGTCAGCAGGGCCTTAGCAGGCCTGGGACACGGGGCCAGAGTTAGGGCTTAGGGGCTGGAGGAGGAAAAATCGCTGAAGCGCCAAAATCAAAGACTCATGTTTGGGCTCCCTGGGCATGTCCTGCATCCTGTTTTTCTCTCTGATTCTCGAGTGTCTTGTTTCTGTCCCCACTGACTGAGACTTTCCTCTGATCTATTCCTGGCAAGGCAGCTCAGGGGCCAAAGCTACACTGAGAAGGAATTATGAGCAAACCTGGCTCCAGGGGCCCATGGAGCAGAGAGTTGACCCCCAGCCCACGTTAAAGACAGGAGGCCCTTCGCCTCCCAGCAGTGCTGGGTTCTGGGAGGGTCCCGGGCCATGATGTGTGTTGAAGACTGAGTAGAAATCTGTGGGTTCACCCAAGGAGGTCTTGTGGACACCTCCTCAGCAGACTCCCTGCTCACACTCAGCCCCGTGTATGTGTCTGTGTCTCTGTGCATGTGTGTGTGTTGCTGTGTGCATCTGTCCCTGAAGTCTGCGTGCGCCAGCGCGTTCCGAGGCTCGTCTACACCAGCACCGTCAATGTTGCATTTGGTGGAAAACCCATAGATCAAGGCGATGAGGACTCCGTGCCATATTTCCCACTGGACAAGGTACTCAACTTCCAGGAGAGGTGGGCTGGAACCCACAACCCGAAGAGTAGGGATGAGTAAAGGCAGGGTGAGTCCTAGCAGGAATGGGACCCTGGAAATGGGTGGTACAAGCCGCTTCTGTTTCAGCTGATCATGCCCGTGGGGGCTTTGAAATCAGAGAGACCTGGCCTTGAGACCCCAGCCTGGCCACTTTCTACCTATGTGACCCTGAGTGAGTCACTGAAGAACTCTGAGCCTCTGTTTCTCCATCCCTGCATGATTGCTACGGGGTGGTGGAGAACAGGAAATGAGATCACGTGTGTGAAAACGCCATGTGAGCCCTACAGGGTAACATGTAACTATAAGAAATTCATCCAGAGTGTGTCTAGCAATAGCCTCAGAGGGCAGGCATTTGGGGCTGGCAGGAGCCTCCCTGAGTGAAGGTGCCCCTGGTCATTGCCACTGTTCTGAGTCCAGTGCTCCTCAGCTCCTGTGGCTGTGGAAGGAGGCACACTTTCCTCCCACCCAGAGAGAGAGGAAGGGCAGTGGGACTCAATGCCTGGTCATGCCCCAGTGAGAGCTCCCAGAATCCAACCTCCATGTGGTCCGAAGGGAAGGTGTGACTGGGAACAGTGGCTCATGTCTGTAATCCCAGCACTTTGGGCAGCTGAAACTGGAGGATTGCCTGAACCCAGGAGTTTGAAATCAGCCTGGGCAACATAGGGAGACCTTGTCTTTACAAAAAAAATTTAAAGATTAACTGGGTATGGTGGCATGTACCTACAATCCCAGCTATTTGGGAAGATGAGGTGGAAGGATCACCTGATCCCAGGAAGTTGAGACTCCTACTCAAAACAAAAACTCGATGGAGGGAAGGAGCAGCCCTGGGGTGTTGCTGACCCCGCCTGGGGTCTCTGTTCTCTCTGTCCTCTGGCAGCACATGGACCACTACTCCCGAACCAAAGCGATCGCTGACCAGTTGATCCTCATGGCCAATGGGACACCTCTCCCAGGTGAGTATCGAGGGGCTCTGTTTACACCAAATTTGCCAGTCCACTGCTGCCACCACTGAAATGCATGTGTGGTTCTAGCTTTTAGCTGACATGTGTCTGAGGCCCACCGTCCTTCCAAAGGACAATTCCAGGACCTGGGCCATCCCTCATGAAACGAATTCTGAGCACCAGTGGTGATACCTCCTGGAACAAGCCAGGCCAGTGTCTGCCCTCACATTGCTTGGGGTCTGGTGAGGAAGAGACGTGGGCTAACACAAGTCTAGCTCTCTTCTCTGCTGCATAGGAGCAGATCCAGTTTTAGAGACCCTCTTTAAATAAAAGAAAACAAAATGAGAAATAAGGAATGAAGTATAGCACTTTGGAAGAACTGTGCAAGGGAGGGGTCCTAATGCTTGACCTTAATAACTTCCCAGAAAACTCTACCTCAGCTGCCTTATTTTATTGCCTCTTCTGGTTGTAGGGAAGTAATAGAATATGAATAGTCCAAGCTGGGCATGGTGGCTCATGCCTGTAATCCCGGCACTTTGGGAGGTCAAGGCCAGAGGATTGCTTGAACCCAGAAGTTCAAGACTGGCCTAGGCAACATGGCAAGATCCCATCTCTACAAAAAATCAAAAGATGAGCAGGATGTGATGGCACATGCCTGTAGTTCCAGCTACTCGGGAGACTGAGGAAGAAGGATCACCTGAGCCCAGGAGGTCGAGGCTGCAGTGGGCTGTGATTATGTCACTACACCCCACCCTGGGTGACAGTGAGATCCCAATTCAAAAAAAAAAAAGGAATGTGACTAGTCCATACCTATTTAGTGCTGACTACATGCTGAATTCTATTTTGTGTGCTAATTTTTCTTTTTTTTCTTGAAAATAAAATTCTTAATCTCATATTTTCTCTTTCTTAATTATTTATTTATTTATTTATTTATTTATTTATTTATTTTAGTCTGAGTCTCACTCTGTCACCCAGGCTGGAGATCAGGTGATCCTTCTACCTCAGCCTTCCAAGTAGCTGGGGCTACAGGTGTATGCCACCATGCCTGGCTACTTCTTTTTTTTTTTTTTAATTTATTGTAGAGATGAGGTCTTGCCTAGTTTCCCGGGCTGGTCTCAAACCCCTGGGCTGAGGCAATCCTCTCGTCTCCACCTCCCAAAGTGCTGGGATTACAGGTGTGAACTACCATGCCCGGCCCTTTCTTTTTTCCCCTCCCTCCCTCTCTTTCTCTCTTTCTCTCTCGCTCGCTCTCTCTCTCTCTTTCTTTCTCTCTCTTTTTTTTTTTTGAGTCGAGGTCTCACTGTTGCCCAGACTGGAGTGTAGTAGAATGAGCACGGCTCACTGCAGCCTTGACTTCCTGGGTCAGGCAATCCTTCTGCCTCAGCCTTCTGAGTAACTGGGACTACTGGTGTGTGTTACAACACCCAGCTAACTTTTTTATTTTTATTTTTTGTAGAGATGAGGTCTGGCTATGTTGCCAGACCTTAAAGTCCTGGGCTCAAGCACTCCTCTCACCTTGGCCTCCCAAAGTGCTGGGATCACAGGAGTGAGCCACCATGCCCAGCTCTCTTTTTTTCTTTATCTACTTTTCCCTTTTTAAAAATTTTATTTCATATTTCTCTTTTTTTCTTTTTATGAACTTTCTTCCCACAGATCACATGCTAATTTTATATGCAAAAGTCTAATTAACTCTTCACAACATCCCTTTTAGGTAAGAACCTGAGGTATCCCTTGATTTCCAAACTCAGGAGCCAAATCTATTCATAAATTCCTTGCTATCCAAACTATGACTACTTGTTTTCTAAAACTAGGAAACTAAAAAGAATCAGATGACTTGGTTTCCCTTCTCCATCAAAACTATCTAAACCTGGGAGCCAAATGGATTTGGAGAACAAAGGATGCTTAAAATAATAATCCCCAGCCAGGCGTACCTGTAATCCCAGCACTTTGGGAGCCAGAGGTGAGAGGATTATCTGAGTCCAGAGCTTCAAGACCAGCCTGGGCAAATTGGTAAGATCTCATCTCTATAATAAATCAAAACATTAGCTGGGTGTGGTGGCATGCATCTGTGGTTCCAGCTACTTGGAAGGCTGAGGTGGAAGGATCACCTGAACCCAGCAGGTCGAGGCCATGGTGGCCGTGAGCATGCCACTGTGCTCCAGCCTGGGTGATGGAGTGAGACTCCAACTCAAAAAAAAAAAAAAAAACCCAATTCACAGGTGAGAAAACTGAGATTAATTGACTTCTCTCAAGATCACACAGCTATTAGATGCTAGAGGAGGGAATTGAAACCCAGGGGAGTCTAACACCAGAGCCTGGGTCTAACCACTCTGCAACACTGCAGCCACAGCTGAGTGGGTTCCACAGTATGGGCTCTTTTCCTTAAAATCTTCTCCACTCACCCCTTATCACCCTGGACCTGTCAGACCTTGACCCGCTGATCCTTGACCGGATGCGGTTGAATTCTCTGCCTGGGGCCTCCCAGCAGCCTGCATGCTGGACACCTAATCCTTTGGTCAAGAATTATTTATACGAGCATCCCCAGCTTTCCATAGTCAGGAGAGTCATGGATACCCAGGCCTGGCCCCTCCATGGAGTGGCTGCCCAGTGCCCCGCCTGCCAACGTCAGCGGCAACCTGATCACCCCCCACCATGCCCAGGTGACCTAGAGTTTAAAATTAGCTGCAGGCTGTTTACAGAAAAGCTCACCCAATACCTGCCTTCCAGGAGTACAGCCACAGGCACGCTGGGTCATTTCCACTCCCTTCGCAAGTGCTTCTAACTCAGCACAGAGGGTCCTGGTTATGGGAGCCGAGGCCTGAGGCATCCAGATCCCAGCCCAGTGTGTCAGTGCAGCTGATACTCCTGTCTCTGGGTATGTTAGTGTCTTATGACTGCCATGACAAATTACCACAAATTAGGTAGCTTAAGACAACAGAAATGTCTTCTCTCACCTTCCTGGAGTCCAGAGTCTGAAATCAAAGTGTCAGCTGGGCTATGCTCCCTCCAAAGGCTCTAGGGAGGGTCCTTCCTTGCCTCTTTCAGCTTTTGGTGGCCCCAGGCATTCCCTGGCCGTGGCTGTAAAACTCTAATCCTTGCCTCAGTCTTCATATGGCCTTCTCCTCTCTTCTATTGGTCTCTCCTCTGTGGGTCTTTATTTTATTTTAGTTTAGTTTTTGAGTTGATGTCTCACTCTGTCACCCAGGCTGAAGTGCAGTGGCACAATTAAGGCTCACTGCAGCCTCGACCTCCTAGGCTCAGGTGATCTTCCTGCCTCAACCTCCTGAGTAGCTAGGATTGACTACAGATGTGCACCACCACGCCCAGCTACTTTTCAAAAAATTTTTTTGCAGAGACGAGATCTTGTTATGTCTTCCAGGCTGTTCTCAAACTCCTGGGTTCAAGCAGTCCTCCTGCCATGGCCTCCCGAAGTGCAGGGATTACAGGCATGAGCCACAGCAACCCGCCTAGTTTGATTTAGGGCCCACCTGGATAATCCAAGATGATCTCATCTCCTTAGCTTAATTACATCTGGGAAGATCGTTCTTCCAAATAAGGTCACAGTCTGGGATGTGGGCATGTCTTTTTGGGGACCACCACTCAACACACTGTGTTGGGCTTCATTGTGAAGTGGGAGGGTTGGAAGATGTCGCAGTTGGTGTTTGATTACTACCCAGAGACCCCTGCCCTGGCTCATTTATGGGGGAATGGGAACTCATTTGAAAGGATGTGGGCTAGCTTCTAGAAAACAGATTTCCAGAAAAATGACAACCAGGGCTCAGAAAGGACAGTGTTGGGGCAGCTTCAGGAACCTGGGAGGCAAGAGCTGATGATCAAAACTTCCTGAGGAGACCCTCAGGGTCATTTTAGGTCCCAGTACCTATGCTGTTGAGAGTCCCACCCTTGGGTGAGAATATCACATGACCAACATCTAGACTGATAGTATCCCCAAGACTTAGCACAGAAGGGAGAGTTCCCCAAAGGAAGGCAGGCTGATAGTTGTAAAAGATGGTCAACACTGGGCTTTTTATACCAGGGTACGGTCCCTCAGGGAACTTGAGCCTCGGGAGGAAAAGCATAACATCTCTCAAGGGGCTCCATTTCAGTTAGGATGTTGGAGCTGGAAGTAGATTAATTTATAAAATAAGTAATTTAAAATCTTTTTAAAAATTTCTTAAAAGAATAAGTTTGGGTTGGCACAGTGGCTCATGCCTGTAATCCCAGCACTTTGGGAGGCTGAGGCAGGAGGATTGCTTGAGCCCAGGAGGTTGAGGTTGTGGTGAGCCGTGATCATGCCACTGCACTCACTCCAGCCTGGGCAGAGTAAGACCCCCTAGCTTAAAAAAAAAAAAAAAAAAAGAGTAAGTTCTGTTGTTCTGTGGCATTAGAGGTGACTATAATTAACAAGTATTTATTGTATATTTTCAAATAGTTAGAAGAGCAGAATTAGAGTGTTTCCAACACAAAGAAATGATAAATGTTTCAGGTGACAGATAAGCCAATTACCCTTTTTGCTCATTACACCTCATATATGTGTACTGAAGCATCACATGGTACTCCATTAAATATGTACAATTATTATGGATCAAAATAATAATAAAAGAAAAGATTTAATCTTAAACACAAATGAATTATGGAAATGAATGGAAAATTTTGTAGGTTTCTGAAGGCAAAATTTAAAATAAATATATCTATGGCAGCCCCCGGACTGTACCCCAGATGCCCCCGGGAGATACATGTTCACCCACTTCCACTGCTGGGGATCCGCCAGCAGAGAATTTGGAAAGCCTGGACCAAGCTCTGTTGTGGTCTGGGGAACTGTGCTGGGATGGAGGGGCAAAAGGAGAGCAGACCCCAGGCCTTGTATGTGGCTCTTGTCTTCTATTTCCCCACTCACTGTTTAGAAGATAAAACAGCTGCTGCCACTGCCAAAGCACCCATTTTCCCAGTGAGGAAACCAAGGCTGAGTGAGTTGAAAGGCACAGTCCATTGTTAGTTTTAGTCTTTTTTAATTTTTGAGTCATGGTCTCACTCTGTCATTCAGGCTGGATGCAATGGCACAATCACAGCTCACTGCAGCTTCAACTTCCTGGGCTCAGGCAGTCCTCCTGCACTAGCCTCCCAAGTAGCTGGGACTGCAGGTGTGCGCCACCACACCCAGCTAATTTAAAAAATTTTTTTCTCGCTATGTTGCCCAGGCTGTTCTTGAACTCCTGGGCCCAAGCAATTATTCTGCCTCTGCCTCCCAAAGTGCTGGAATTACAGGCGTGAGCCATTGCACCTGCCCCGCTGTTAGTCTTATACCACCGAGAAGCAGAGGTATTAGTGGACAAGGCTTCGGTTTGGGTCCTCACCTCAGTTCCACCATGCTGAACTGTATGACTCTAAGCAAATCACATACCTTCTCTGAGACTTGGTTCTCCGATCTGTAAAACAGGCATAACAGCTCCCACCTCATAGGTTTGCCTTGAGGAAAAATACCCTGTCTTACCAGAGTGCCAGTAGTATAGTAGGACCTCTCTGAAAATCCTCATCTATTAGATATCGGCTAGATGGTCCTTACCTAACCAATGATTAGAAACAGAAAAAGAACAAGAGCTATTGGCATGAGGGAGTGTGGGGCTGCATGCATCTGTGAAATGGGCACAGTGGGACTCTTAGGGTTGTCGAGGAAATCATTCTGTCAAGTGCTTGGTAAACTCTCTCGGGCCATGCAGATGTTTGCATATGGGTTTTACCTTTGTTCCTGGCCTGTGAGCACTGTGAGGCAGGGACCATTTCTTGGTCATCCTTACATTCTTCACAACATCCATCTGGGGTGGGAGATGAGGGTGGGGGTGGGACTCTGAGTGGTGTTTATTGAATGACTAACAGATTGACTTAGAGAATAACTCATTGAATGAAGAAACCCCAGAGCCTTCCCCTCTAACCTGTCCAGGTAAAAACCAGGAGATGTAGACGCCTTTCTCTCTCTCTCCCTGCTGGGCTGCTCCTCCCCAGGCCCCTGACCACCCTGCCTTGTGTCCTAGGAGGAGGCACTCTTCGGACGTGTGTGCTCCGGCCCCCCGGGATCTACGGCCCTGAAGAGCAGAGACATCTGCCCCGTGTGGCGGTATGTTGCTCCGGCCTTCAGGACCTGAGGCAGAGGAGGAACCCAGCTGACACACACGGTGATCGGGCCTCCCAGCCCGTGGTCACTGTGTCAGTTTCAAGGCAGAGCATCCCAAGCCTGGGGTCCTCTGTTCTGGGACAGAACCCTGCCCCCACCGATCTGTGGGACCTTCAGGCCTACCAGGAACAGAGGCTCTCAGTGTGTGCCAGCCTGTCGCAGGCAGGGGTTGGGATGACATGGAGCTGTGACCCCAAAGAGACAGAGGGCATTGCCCCTGGTCACATGTGGGCTCCTTGAGGGCTGGATGGTTCATTCCGGGCTGGCAGCATGAGGGTCTGCATGCAGGAACCTCTCTCTAGAGAAAGCTGGGTGCCAGGAATATTGCTGCAAGGGGCTCTAGGCCTGTCCTCAAATTTCTCAGGGAGACATATATCACAGTCACAGCTCCAATATGCTAAGGACTGTGGAGAGGGGAGTGTGAGAAGATGGCCCAGCAGGGAAGGCCCAGGAGGGCTTCCTGGAGGAGGTGATGCCTGTGCCGTTTGGAAAGAAAAAAAGGAATTAGCCAAGGATATTGGGTGGTAGAGAGAAGATGGCCGAATAGAGGAGGCAGTTTGGGCACAGACTTGGAAGTGAGAAAGATTATGGTCAGTTTGGGAAGTAGCAGGAGGTCTTTGTGGTCGAATCTGATCTGGGAGTGCAGGGTCATGGGGGAGCCGTAGAGTTATTAGGGGAGGGAAGCTTCAGCCTGTAGTTTCAAAATATTCCTCTGCTGGAGGATGTCCATTTTTTTTAAGTTAACTGTGTTCTTCCTCAAGGAATGTGGGGTCAACCCCAGTGACTCTCTCCCCTATTCACTCACTTATTCATTCAACACGTGCTTACTAAGCTCCTACTATACACCTGGTACTATCTGTTCTAAAGTTGGGGACAGATCCGTGAACAAAACAGACTCCTCCTTTGTGGAGATCAGTAATACACAACCAATGTGTAGTTGTAAGGTATGTTCGAAGGCGCCAGGCCTTGTGGAGAAAGGGAGGTCGTGGAGCAGGGTGAGTATTGTGGACTTGCTGGGGTGTCAAGGGAGTCCCAGTTGGAAGGAGACACTTGAGCATTCACGTGGTGGAGGTGACAGAGTGCCCTGTGCTGGCTGCTTGGAGGAAGAGATTTCCAGGCAGAGGGAACAGCTCACCCAAAGCCCTGAGAATCTGCTGAAGAGGCTGTGAGGCTGTAGCAGAGTGAGTGAGGGGCCTTAGCAGAAGGTAAAGTCACAGAGTAGCTGGGGCCAGGCCGGAAAGGGCTTGTTGGTCATTGTCAGGACTTCAGCTTCCAGCCTGGCAGGGTGGGCGCCTAAAAGGTTCTGACCCAGGGACAGACATGGTCAGACATCGGACTTAAAAGGATCTCCCTGGCCAGGCATGGTGGTGCACACCTGTAGTCTCAACTACTGAGGAGGATGAGTTGGGGGATCACCTGAACCCAGGAGGTTAAACCTGCAGTGAGCTGTGATCGTGCCACTGCACTCCCCCTGGACCACAGAGGGAGACCTTGTCTCTAAAAACAAAAGAAAATAATTCCTGTGATCCAGGTGCTTATTTAAAAATAAATTAATATGGAAATAATAAAATTAAATTAAAGAAAAAGAAAAGGATCCCCCAGATATACAGAGAACAAACCGCAGGGGCTGAGGATGGACAGGCGGGCCCAGTTAGGAAGCGACTGTGGTGTCCAGGTGAGAGAGGAGGGCGGCCATCCAGTGGTTGAATTCTGGACAGATTTTAAGGGTTGAACCAGAGCTGGAGTTGCAGGGGGGTTGGACGTGGTGTGTGAGAGGAAGTCCAAGAAGGCTCCAGGGTTTCTAGCTGTGCAGGAGAGTGAAAGAGGAGTCTGCTGGGAAGGGAGGGAGGCCACTGAACAACCAGGTGTCGATGTCGTAAGGCAGTGATTTCCTGAGTCTTGGGTGGAGGGGCCTGGCCTGGAGTTAGAAACTGGGGAGCTGTGAGCATGTGGGCGAAGTGTGAAGCCGCTCCAGGCTTGAGCCTGCGTTTACCACCCTTTCCCCTCCCCCAGAGCCACATCAAGAGGAGGCTGTTCATGTTCCGATTTGGGGACCGCAGGACACGGATGAACTGGGTTCACGTGCTCAATCTGGTGCAGGCACATGTACTGGCAGCAGAGGCCCTCACAGCAGCCAAGGGCTATGTGGCCGTGAGTTTCCGGGCCATGCCCCTCCCATGTTCCCCCCCGGGGCTGCAGGCAGGGTGCCCCATCCCTAGGGGATTCCTGGTCCACACACAAATTTTTTTCTCCAAGTTATGATGGCCGGTGGGGTTGTCAGCCCAGGGAAGCTTGGGGGGTGATGGGGGGCTGGGCATTTTCTCAAATGAAGAAACTGAGGTAGAGAGAGGTTAAGCAATCCATCACAGGGAGTGGCTCACATCTGTCCCCAGACCTGGGAACTGCTTAAGAGACCTCGGGTTGGAACAATTTCGGGGCGCCACCTAGAGGGGCGGGGTCAGGCTGTGGCAAATGCCTGATGGTCCCCTCCCACGCGTCCCCTTCAGGGTGGGCAGGCGTACTACATCAACGACGGGGAGAGCGTCAACCTCTTTGAGTGGATGGCCCCGCTGGTAGGTGCCCAGATGCCCATACCCACCCCGAGTGAGAAATCTGGGGTCCCCATTCTTCTCTTTCTGCCCTTTCCTACTTCCAAAAAGTCTTAAGATTTTACATGGAAACCAGCTCTGAGCCAGGTGTGGTGGCTCATGCCTGTAATCTCAGTGCTTTGGGAGGTGGAGGCAAGAGGACTGCCCGAGCCCAGGGGTTCAAGACCAGCCTGGGCAGCATGGTGAGACCTCGTCTCTGCAATAAACCAAAAAATTAACTGGGTGTGGTGGTGCATGCCTATGGTTCTACCTACATGGAAGGCTGAGGCAGAAGGATCGCCTGAGCCCAGCAGATCAAGGCTGCGGTGGCCATGTCGTGCCACTGCACTCCAGCCTGGGCGACAGAGTGAGACTCCAATTCAAAAATAATAATAAATAAATAAATAAACCAGCTCTGGCTACAGTGTCCACTGAGTGGCATTGGAACTGGCTGAAGCTGGGTTGTGGCTGACCTTTGTTGTATGCTCTCCCACTTTGCCATAGTTTCCTTCCAGACTGCCTCTTGATTTGTGTTGACTTCTAGCCCTGAGCAGTTTTGCTTATGGCCTGCCAAACTGTTTTGAGGTTCTGAAGGAGGTAGAGGCAGGTGGACCACAGAACGAGGAAGGTGTCTGGCCCTGGCACCGCCTCTCTGAGCAGCCCAGACTCCCTGGAGCCAGGACTACCTGGAAGGAATAGACCAGAAAACCCAGGGGGACACACCCTCTGGGCTTGCACATCAACTTTGAGTGGCCTTCCAGACTGTGGTGAGAAGCCAGCCTGACCCAGCCCACAAAAGAGTTGCCTTTTTCTCCGGTTTTTGTACCCACAGAGGTTTTTTTTGTTGTTGTTCTGTTTAAATAACAGCTTTATTGAGATAGAATTCCCATGCCATCCAGTTCATCTACTTAAAGCATATTCAGAGTTGTGTGATATCACCATAATTGATGTTAGAACATGTCATCGTTCCCAAAAGACCAAAGCCTGTTTCCTTTAGCCATCCCCTGCCCTTTGCCCTCTTCAGCCGCCTACTGGTTCTATCTATGGATTTGCCTGTTCTGGACATTTCCTACAAACGAAGCCATAGAATATGCGGCTTTTTGTGCTGGCTTCTTCCACTTAGTTTTCAAGGTTCATCCATGTTGTATCATGGATCGTATCACTCCTTCTATTTTTTTTTTTTTTTGAGTTAGAGTCGCCATCACCCAAGCTGCAGTGCAGTGGCATGCTCACAGCCACCACAGCCTTGACCTGCTGTGCTCAGGTGATCCTTCTGCCTCAGCCTTATAAGTAGATGGAACCACAGGCATGCGCCACCACACCTGGCTAATTATTTTATTTTTATTGTAGAGATGAGGCCTCACCATGTTGCTCAGGCTGGTCTCAAACCCATGAGCTCAGGCAATCCTCTTGTCTCTGCCCCCCAGAGTGCTGGGATTACAGGCGTGAGGCACCGTGCCTGGTGCTAATTTTTTTTATTGCCAGAAAACATTCCATTCTATGGATATACCACATTTTGTTTTAACCATTCATCAGCTGATGGAAATTTGGGTTTTTCGGGCTGTTATGAATAGTGCTGCTATGAACATTCATGTACTTGTTTTGTGTGGTCATGTGTTTTCCTTTCTCTGGGTATACATAGGGGAACCCCTCAAAAAACTGGAATTATTTTTTGGAAGACTGGCTCCTTGTAGTGCAGGCTTCCTCTGCTAGATCAGTGTTCCAGGAACCCATTGGCATCAGTGTACCAGCTAACGTTGTTGTGAGAGGCTGGATTCAACTTCAGTGATTTTTTTTTTGGAGATTCTTTCAACATGCTTGCCCATTTCATAATGGATGATTTGCAAGCACTCCTGCCCAAACCGCACTGAGAGTTCAGCAGTTTTTGACTAAAACAGCATGACCCCTATCCTCCCTATTCACCTAATCTCACCCCAATGACTTTTTTTTTTGTTTTCCTGGATGAAAAAAGTCCTCAAAAGAAAACATTTTGCCGATGTGGAAGAAGTGAAACAAAAGAACGGCAGAAGCACTAAAAGGCATCCAAATTGATGCATTAAAAAACTGTTTTGAGCAGTGGGAAAGATCTCAATAGGTGTATTGCTTCAGACAGAAAGTACTTTGAAGGTGACTGAAATTTAAACATGTAAGAATAAATACACAATTTTTAAATAAATAAATTCTGGGTGTTTTGGGGTCACCCTCATATACCTAGGAGTGAGATGTGCCGGGTTATATGATAACTTAGGTTTAACCTTTTGAGTTAACCTTTTTATGCCCTTGACGAGCTCAATTTATCCTGTACCAGCTCATCTCTGAATGCATCTCCTACCGCCCTCCACACACATCATGGGCTTTTTTTTCTTCCTTTAATAGCAGAAAAGTCAATTCCAGAAAAATCAGACTGGGTGCAGTGGCTCATGCCTGAAGTCTCTGCACCTTGAAAGGCCAAAGCAGGAGGATTGCTTGAACCCAGGAGTTCAAGACCAGCCTGGGCAACATGAGGAGACCCCGTTTCTAACACAAAAAAATTAAAAATTAGCTGGCCGTGGTGGTCTGTACCTGTAGTCCCAACACGGAAGAGGCTAAGGAGGGAGGGTTACTTGAGCCCAGAAGTCTAAGGCGGTGGTGAGCCGTGATGGTGCCACTGCACTCCAACCTAGGTGACAGAGTGAGACCTCAACAAGAAAGAAAAAAAGAAAGAAAGTGGGGGGGAGAGAAAGAAAAAGAAAGAAAGGTCAAATTCTACATAAGTGCCTTGGAGTGTCTTTAGGTATAGGCAGATGCAAGTGATAACTAAATGATGTGATTAATCCCAAGTTGAAACCCCACACCATGATTTAACTACTACTTGAGTTTTCTGGGTCAAGGTGTGAATTTCATTTCCAGCTGGCACAGGCTGGCTGTGGGCTCTGCCACTGGGGTGGGTGGTGAGGGGCCAGGAGGTACCTCTGCTGGCCTGGGGTAGAGGTATGACCTTTCCACCCTGAACACCTGTTCTCATCTCAGGCCCTGTTTCTTTGCAGTTTGAGAAGCTGGGGTACAGCCAGCCCTGGATCCAGGTACCTACTTCCTGGGTTTACCTGACAGGTAAGGAAAGGCGTACACATCAAAGCCCTCCACCTGTCAGGTGTACCGTGCATTTGAAGTCCAGGGCCAGAATTGAGTGAGGCCAGTGAGGCACCAAGGACACAAAATTTAAGGAGGCCGCTGCAAGTGCCCAATCCCACATTTTCAAGGTCCCAGGAGCAAGTGCCTCCCTAGATTCCATACCCTGGGTGCCTCACTCCCCTCACCCCAACCCAACTTTATCCCACCTGCAAGGCAGGTGTACTGGGCCTATTGTAAAGACGTGGGGACGGAGCCTCTGAGAGGTTAGTGACCTGAGTGAGAAAGTGGGAGAAGCAGGAATCATACCAGGGTTTGGTGAACTCCCTGTGGCCTTGCTGGAAAATGTCATGCCAGTCAGGAGAGAGGGAGCCCTGGAACTGCCCTGTCCCCCAAGGTCACCCTCAAGGTTTTAGGGCTGCTTTTGGACAGGTGAAGTTTCCGTTTTGACCTTAGATTCTCCTCCTGTCCCTGAAGGTCAGTCTCTGCCCCCACCTCGACCCCAACAGTGTGTCCTGGATGCTGCCCTCTGCTCCCACCCCCAGCACCCCTTGCTGGCCTCCTTCCAGCTGGAGCAGGCATCAGGAGTTAAAGTGAGGCCCCTGGTCACCGGCCGCTCTCTCCCCACAGCCGCAGTGATGGAACATGTACATTTGGCCCTGAGACCCATCTGCAGCATCCCACCACTGCTGACGCGGAGTGAGGTAAGTGGCTGCTGCAACCCCTGGCCCTGCTCCCTCCTTTGACACCATGACCCGATGCTTGTCTGAGGTCTCAGAACTCTCCCTGTGGGCCCAAAGCTGGTGATCATCATCCCAACCTCTGGGCTTTTGCCTAGGCTGTGCCCTCTAAGTCTGAAAGGTGACAGCTACAAGCCCCTCCTCACGGTTAATTGTATTCATAAGCAGTTTATTTCTCCTGCCGGAATGGAGACCCCCAAAGGCAGCTTTTGTGATATTCACTGTTGTGAATGCCACCAACCTCACCAACCCTCAACACACAGACACACACCGACATGCACATGCACACACAACCTGGTGGTCCTAGGCTCATTGTTCATGCCTACTGAATAATAAGTATACTTATTACTGTATATAAAATGCTATTCTCTCTCTCTCTCTTTTTTTTTTTTTTGAGACAGGATCTTGCTATGTTGCCCAGGCTGGTTTCCAATTCTTGGGCTCAGGCAACTCTCCACCTCACCACATGTAGTTGGGATTGCATGTGAGAGCCACCATGCCTGGCTCAGAATCTGATTCTTATAATAATGATGAGGCAGGTTTATATTTGCTTAGTTAAAAGCGAGGATGTTTAATCACAGATTGGGAACAGTAATTGGTGGCAGTTGGGGTTATTTGCAAAAATCCTTCCAGTTCACCCTTTCCTTTGATTCTCTCTGATGCCCTGCTAATTTAGGAAGGGTAAACAGAGTATGGTCTTCATTTTATGATGAGAAACTGAGCATCGGAGAAATTAGTGGTTTGTCCAAGGTCATACCATACTGGGATTGGCTTCAGACTCCAAGTGCAGTGCTCACTAACCCCAGGAGTGAGGAGTGAGGGAGAGGAGAATGGGCCACAGAAAGAAGCAGTTACCCGTAGTTTCTCCTTTGAGCCATCCAGACGAGCTGAGGAGAGAGAATGATGCCCATAACAACTATCTCTTGAGTAGTGGCAATATGCCAGGCACTGTGCTTCGTCTCAGTTAATCTTCATTACCATTCTGAGTTGTAGGTTCGACGGTCATCTCCATTTACAAAGGAGGAAACCAGGCACACGGTAAAATAACCTGCCCATGACCGCTCACTTAAGTGGTAGAGCTGAAGTTCAAACGCACACCTACATAATTCCAACCCCTAGCATGTGAAATGCATGAGGAATCACATCCATGTAAAATAGCTGCTGAAGTGTGTCAGGCAGGGACTTGGTTCCCCTCCTTCTTGTCTAACTTGGGGGTTTCCTTATTCAGCTCAGAGGGGAAAAAAATCCTTAACTGGGATTTCTTGGCTGTGCCCTCTTTCGGTCAATCTGGCACACCAACCAGCCCTCTAGTTTGACGTGATAGGCTTCTTTATTGAGCACCTACAGTGTACCAGGCATTCTGCTGAGCGATGGAGACAAGAAGACATAGTCCTTACCCCTGGGGAGCTGGTAGTTCAAAGGGGAAGACAGCCCACTAACCAGGCAACTCAACACGTTGTGATTAGGGCTATACTAGGGGAAACGAACGACAAGGAACTGCAGAGCACACACAGCCAACTCTGAGGAAGTGAGGTAGGCTTCCGAGAGGACGTGACTTCTAAGCCTGAGATCTGAGAATACTGTGGCAGGAGACCCTGCTTATCTAACGTATCTCAGCTGAACTAGGCCTACCCCTGTGTTCGCCAAAGCCCTGCACTTTCTGCCTTGGGGAAAAAAAGGTGGGGGTGGGGGAAGGGCAAGAACTGGCCCCTCCCCTTCTCCCCCTCAAGCCTCCAAGACCAGGGTCCAGCTGAGGAACAAGAAAGAAATGAGCCAGGTAGGAGGGCTTCTCCAGGGCCCAGGATAGCAAGGAAGGCTTTAAGCTAGAATCTGGCTCTGCAGTGTGGACTCGTCACGCAACCTCTCTGACCTTCTTTTTCCAAATATACGCAGAGTAGATAGTGTTAGTACCTCCTTAGAGGAGTAAATGAGGTAAGGTAGAGAGAGGATTTAGCCCAGACCAAGCACAGGGTGTGTGCTTCCTAATTGGTAGCTGTCGTTATCACCCTTGAAGGGGGTGGCGCCCAAGCCATCTGGCAGCAGGAGAAACGCAGCTCAGACCCTGGAGAGTAATCAGTTCTGCTTAATTGAATTCCTCTCTTAGGAAGCTTAGTTAATCAGCTAGAACTTGAAGGCTGTGCCTGGGGTCCGCCTGGCCACAGTTGGTCAGGGACTGGGGGCAGGACGCCAAGGTCGTTTCCTGGAGACATTTTTTCCGGCGGGCGTGCAGCTTCTGGGGGATACCCAAGAATGTATCAAGGGCCTGAGTTCCAACCCCGTGGCAGGCCAGGAAGGGGAATGCAGAGATGAGACCTTTGCTTCTTAGGGACCGAGGAGTTCAGTAGGGTGGGAATTCAGCGGGGCTGGGTGAGGGGCGAGGTTTCAGGAAAGACATCCTGGAAGCGGCGCCCTCCAAGAAAATGGAGAGAGAAGAGAGAAAAACCTCAGGAGCAAGACATACTACGGGGGTCTTTTCAAATAGCTGTGCGGTGGAGGGGACATCCCTCTCTCTCCTCGTTTCCTAAGCAAGATAGAAGATGTGCCTCTCCTGCTAGCCCCGCCCGGGCTGTTCCGCCTCTCCCCGCAGGTGTGCAGCGTGACCGTGACGCACACCTTCCAGATAGCCAAGGCCCGCGCTCAGCTTGGCTACACGCCGGACAAGTTCAGCTTTGCCGACGCGGTGGAGCGATACGTGCAGTCCTCGACCCGGCGGCCCCGCGGCTCCACGGCGCGGGCGCTGCTGCGGCTGCTACTCGGG